TATAATTAAACTTGATTCTTGATTTATGAAAATGGAAATTTAAAAACCATTCTAGCTGTAATTTCCTCAAAATCTTATAACTTTTAAACAACTGAAAAATCGACAGAACAGAATAAACCAATTTCGAGTCACCGGTTAGTGGCTAAACCAGCCAATTGAACGGGTTTTTACTAGTTTTGAATTAAGTGGTGTAAGGAAATTGATTCCTTGGATTTGCATTTTCGAATTCCTCAGCAGCTACAAAATTATTCCAACAACTGGAGCCTTTAACCACCTGTTTCAACTACCATTTGTGGTTGGAATCTTCAACCGATTGGAGCCTATGTTAGTTGGTTAGTTTGTAACTGATTAGATACTTAATTGAGTCTATAAATAGGAGCCTGAGGTTCTGTAGAAAAATGAGCTCGAAAATGAAAGAAAAAAGAGAGATTGAGAGTGGTAAAACTCTGTAGAATTCTGGAATAGAATTCTGTAATTCAAGTTAGAGAAAAAGGTCAATTTTTTTCTTGTAGTAGGAAGTGTAGATTGTGAGAGTGAAAAGTCTCTGGAAATTCAATTTGGAAATTCTTTCTACTGATTCATGTAAATGAATGTAATCTTTGGTCAATAAAGATTGAGGAAGAAAAACTCTTCACGTTACCAATTCTTCTGTCGTCTTTGCTGGTTTTTTCTTGCTGGTTTCTCTTCTATCATTTAATCTGCTTTCCTGGTGCTGTTTTCTTCTTTGTAATTAGATTGATCCTGGACTGTGGGGAAGATAAATCCCCAACATTAAAAATAATGCTATCTAGCATCAAACGTGCTACACCATGAGTCTAGGTGATGCTATGAAATCTACTCAACGAAAGGTGACTCATTTAATTGTACCACAGATTTAATGTATATTAGCACCACATAAACTTCTGTAACACTAGTAATGCATTACTCATTCGTTTATTGAATGATTCAAAATAATCCTTGAGATGACTCGTGGTAAGGTTTGATTATTGGATACATCAACGTGTTGAAAACACAAGCTGAAGTTGCACTGAAATAAAAAGGAAATTTTCACTACTCAAGCATCCCCATCTTAAATCCAAAGTAATGCAGTTGTTGGAAGAGAACTGAATAATTGAACAAAATGGTGGACTCTAATGCACCAAATCCATGGATAGGCCTATACGCTGCTGTAGCATCTCTAATATGGACTTTTGCACTTATGGCTGATACAGTGCTCTCTCTCCACCATATCAAATTATGGTTCCCCTGCAGATATTCTGCTCTCAATGCTGCTTCCTTGATAGTATTAGGCATCGCAGTGAAGTTGTCAATGGATCTAACTACCCCGATGCCAGGTAAGTTTGATCACGCGGGTAAAAGTATTAGCACTACTTTCCTGTGTGCTTCAACCACTCATTTCATGCCTTCTCTAGGATCCATGAGTGATAGAGATATATTGGTGAACTTGACAGCATTGGGTATCCTTATAGTGACGCTTACGTTAAATGTTATCATCCAAGTATTCACACGCGTGATTCAAGATGATTTTCAAGTGTTGGTTGTCTTTATGAGTGTTTATACGTTCATTATATTGAGTTCTTCTGCTTTAACGGTATCTACAAGTAAAAAGTATTTGGAACATAAGTATAACGAATTACACACAAGAATTTCTGTAGAGGAATTACCAGAAGACGAAATAATGGACTTTGACAGGTTAAAGTTATGCTTGAAGAAGTACTGGGTGATGGCAGAAACGAGTGACCCTCAGTTTGTGATGGCACAATCTGAGGCCAGCGGTGTTTTATTCATGATCTACGTCATTAGTTATATTTTTGATGGATCAGTATTGTTAACAAACAATAAGCTAAAAATTGCTTCCGATTATAAATGGTCAGTATATCTTGTTTATTGGACTCAACATGTAGACATGGCTCTTTGTGTTGTCATGTCTTTGGGAAGATTTTTAGTAGCTTTACTTCACACTGTACAGAATATTAGAAAACTTACCATCTCTAGCATTTCCTTATAAATAAAGAATCACAAGATCAAAAGATTGGTAGAGTGGTGTTTCGCGTGGTTACTCGCTAACAATTAAAAGAGGATCAGACGATTGTGTAAGGAACAAACCTCTTGGAACAAAGTCCCAAAAGGGGTGTTCTTAAAATATGAAGATTACAGTTTGGATATGAACAAGATGCCCCCAAGGGGCGCAAGCACACAAGTACAAGGGAATTGAAGTAATTAAAAATTAATCTAAAAAAAGTAAGTTACATGTTCTCTCTTTTGAGAGTGAATTTTGTCGGGGTCTCTTCGTTGTCTTCTTCTTTCTT